GGCGCGCAGCGGCGGTGCGCTCCTGCCCGCGCCGAGAGCTGCGGGCCAGGGAGAAGCCTTGCGCCAGGCCTTTGTGTTTGGCCCGGGTTTCGGAAGACAGGGGTGGATCAGGGGCTTTACACCTTAACGGGTTATAGAGGAAAATGAAAAACCAGACGGTAACGCTGCTGTGCGAAGCCTGAGATCCCGAGTCCTACTGCACGGTCGTTTCAGGAGGGAAAGGTGTTCGTGCTAACCCAGCTCCCCCCGTGTGGATTTGTATCGAGCTGAAAGTCCGTGTTGCCCCTTCGTAATGCCGTTTTAAGATGGGAATGCTTCATGTTGAAAGTGTGAAGTTCCATAGGGACAAAAATGGAACCAGCCAAGCTCCGCTTTTCCACCTGAAGTTGGGTATCGGGTAAAACGTCCATCTAAAAAATATCCCAGAAGGAGAGGAAAAAGCCAAAACAGACTGAGATACAGCATGGGGATTCATTAAACAGAAACAATGTTTTGCAAATGCCAGATTTAATAGTAAATTTAAACGTTTGTTTTAAATACAATAGGATATCTACCCTCATCTTCTTTCTATTTGCCAAACACCTCCTGTTCATGTTAGGTCAGTAGGGAATCGATACTTGTTAATCTGCAGCTAGGAAAGTCTAAATATCAGAATGGAAGTGCACTTCCACTTATACTGGAAAAGTGAATGCTGATGCATATAATGGAAATACAAAAAAAAAAAAAAAAAAATTAGGCTGAATTCCAGAAACAACTTCCTTAAGAGTAAGGTCTTACTTGGTCTCTGAAGGGACATTATGGATCTTTATTGCCTGATACATTTAAAATTACCCTGAATAAAAGATCCAGAAAATCTGTTGCAGACGTCAGTCATGCACCTTCACACACTGGACGGGGTAACTCAATGAACAAGCTCCAACTGCAACTTTCATGAGTCTCTTTACTGAGCCACAGAACGTAAAATTGTTTAGGGGTTCACTATTATTCCAATACATATGGACAACGTGGAAGATATGAAAGACAACAATAACACACAGCAATTATTTCAGGGTTGGGACATTCCAAAGGTTCAACCAGGTCCTAGTCATCGAGTACAAATTCTGCTATTTCTGCTACTGCAAGAATATCAATACAGCGCTGTCCTCAAATCCACATTATCTGAAAAGTAAATAAAGCAATAGGAAACACTCATTTAACCCTTGATCCTTCCATTATTAAAGTTAAGGACAGCAATGAAGGGTCCTAGTCAAAGTAATAGACTGAGAAAATAAATTTTATCTGCAGTACAGAAACTCCTACATTATGTTCCACTAACAGTAGCTGCAAACATTTCTACTCATATGAGTCACAGTGGGGGCTGCAGCATGGACCAATCTTCCATAGCCACTCCAATTATTGATCCCCTACAAATGTTTATGGAATTAAGTCACTCGGATATAATCTTACATAATCCATCATAATGGAATCCCTCTTTTAATGAACTTTGTCTAGGAAGGCTGTTGGATTTAGTGTCTGTTTTGGTGTTTAGGTTTTTTTTAGATAGTAAATACACATTTTTTTCCCCAACAAAATCAGTTTCACTGTCACCTATCCATGAGCTTACATTTCACAAGGCTGTACCAAAAGCAAGGTTTCCAAGGATTTAAGCAAAGGCGAGAAGACTCCTTTGTGTTGTGACAAGTGTTTCATAAAAGCAAACCTTAAATCAATACAATCTAGGCAACCTCAGTGAACACTGCATCAATTGTATTCATTCAAATTTTTAGCACATTCCAAAAATCACCAAGCAAGAAATCAATTCTTCCATTTTGCTCTTCAGTTTCTAGAAGGTCTGCAGTAGAAATAAATTTGCTTCTACAGTTCTTTTAATGCTGTCATTTTCACGTATCACTAGAATTAACTTCTGCTTAAGAAGGAGCAGCAGCTCCCTTTTGCACACTTGCATACATTTTAATGGAGATATTCTCTATAAGCCAAGAGCTTTTTAGGTCATTCCCACCAGGTGAGGAGCCACAGATTCTTGGGAGATGCTCTAGCAATGCTGTTCAGTTCCTCTGTAAGGAATCAGAGGTTCAATACAAGCAAAGAAGGATCCAGCAACCATGAAGAAGTGACAATCTGCAGACCAGTGTACTAGCTTTCTCCACAGCGACACAGACGATTGCAGGGCTGGACAGAAGTGCAGTCAGTAGGTTCAGGCAGATCTTGTTCCTGTAACACCCGTGTAGGCAGTGGCCACTGTCAAAGCCAAGCTACCCTGCAGTGGCTTTTTTGGTCTTCCATTGCCCAATGGCACACAGTACCCCTTCTGTCACACAACATGTGGAGATAGTCTTACAAACCACAACATAAGGGTTTGATTTAGCTGCTGGTAATTTAAATTTTAGACTGACTCGCAATAAGCTAGACACCTGCAATGATTTAGAAGTCTGTTGTGGGTTATTTTCCCTCAGTATAATCTGCTTCAATAAATCCCAGCTCAAGTTACACTGGACAGCTGACATCTGAGTTTAACCTCTTGTCTGATGCACATTAAAAATGCATTCCCTTCTACAGAATTTGGATAGAAATGATGTAGCCAGTTACTTCAGTGGAGTTAAGATACCATGTGCATAACTCATGGGAAATAACTCTTGACAATACAACTTACACTGTGCTACAGAAAGTTACATTTTTTTTCCCCCCGAGATATTTCATGTCACTGCTGTTTTCATTTAATTATGAAGAATATATAGAGACACAATAACACCACACAAGTACGCTTCACTTAATATTTTTTAAAAAAATGAGTAATTGCCCAATTACGTTGGAAGTGTTTTATTACTTCTTTGAATTCATTAGCCATGATAAAATGTCAAAAGCACCAGTCAAGACAGAAATAAATAACACAATCTCATGTTAGAGAGAAAGTTGCAAATACAGTATATTAAATTATAGCAATATGCTGCTTCACACCAGCCGATGTAGACAGCACAGTAGGGAGACAGTAGTTTCACTCACGATCATTGAGAAGGTCTATTACCAGAACAGGGCAGCTGCACACCCAACTACAGACATCATTCTTTTTTTTTTTTTTTTTTTTACCAATTCACTTTATGAATTTAATCAAGGGTTTGAACAGTTTTGGAAGTTCAACATCCCCTTTGTCTAGAGGTAACAAGAGTGGTACAAAGCTTTTCACAATAAGCCACGCAAAAAATTCAAGGCTTTCACATCTTTGTAGTCTTTGCTTTCAGGTCCATTCCTGCATCAAGTCAGTTTAAAGCCACACTTAAGTCCTTCTCAGCACATAGTAAAGATAAACTCAGGGCAGGCAACATATGCAACATTACTATCATAGTATTGTGAAACTGCACTTCCTGGGGCTCTGAGCAGAACATCTCTGCTTGTTTATGAGAAGCACTGTATCAGTCAAAAAATGAAGGAAGTTACAGTCCCTATGGGGAAAAAAAACATACAGAAAAGCTGTATTAAAAATATTAAGGCAAGGCCTCTACAACTGCACACCACTTCAGGCCTGAATTAAATTATGAATATTCTATTACTTAACTGTTGCCCTAATTTCTCTTTTATGGCCTACAGCAAAGTTCTCCACTGAAAAAATTAGTGAAAAAAACCCCAATTCTCTACTGAAGGCTTAGTAACATGCCACTTGCATGACATCTCTCGTGGTCAGTAAAAGACCATAAACACATCTTCTTCCAGGCAGGCATTGGAAAGAAATAATCTTCTGTCAGGGAAAATGGATGTAATATATACTGTAGTGAAGTCACTTATACAAAAAAACATTACATATAGACAGATGCACTGTAAAATAAACATCTTCTACAACAACTGAAGCATGAAACATCTGAGACCCACTGCAGCGGGTCAGATGGAGTAGAAAGCCAAATGGAGAATCTCTGTTTTTCAGGTTTAACTTCACTGCTTTCATGTAATGTCCGTACTTTAAAGAAATTGTACATGAAAAAATACATACAATAATTCTGGTGAGGAAAAACATTCCCATGATTACTCAACCTCAGAAAAATTTTTAATTAAATAAAGGCGTTAAATTATGCCAGTGATTAAATCTTGTTATTTACAAGATCAAGTACAACTCTGATTCTTAGTAATGTTGCAGTATCTAAATTAAGATCACAGGGGCTAGATTACATTCTGGTTGCTAAAAGCTTTCTTTTTTAGCTGTTTATCCAGTTCTTTGGAGTTTGAGTCTGGAAGAAAGGGGATAAAGTTAAATTTTTTTGTGCCACAACATATTTTACATCTAGATAATTTTTCTTATCTAGTCTTATGATTCAGTAACACGGCTTAAATTTGAAGCCTGTAACAACTGTGACATAAGAATACAGAAGACAACACATTTTTTCTCACAGTAAAACACTAATTACTGTACTCACTGGTAAACTTCAATTTTGTAATTAAGTACTGTGTTTCCAAATACCTCTACACAGAGCACCAAATTATTTGTGTGGGAGCATCAAATTTCCTGACAATTTCCATATAATCCTTACAAACACCTCACAGATCACCAAACTTGTACTTTGAGGAATTCTACAGAAACATTGCACAGACTTTGCATCACAAGGGCTTATACATTCAGAGGCAGCTTTCTGGAGTGCAGGTCCATCCATTCACATTGGGGAAAAAGTTCACATAAACTTCAAAAATAAGAAAACGAAGTGAAACCTAGTGTGACTTTACACCAATAAGAACAACAATAAGGACAATTACTATAACAAACAAAATTAAAATAACAAGCATCTTCCGATTCTTCTTTTGATATTGCTCTGCCTATAGAAACAGAAAAAGAAATAATTAATAGTTAGACTTCTGCGAAGCTACAAAGTACAGACCCTTCTTTAGTCTAAGTGAAGCACATGTATTCAGAATTGTTCTTTGGTAACTTGACATTTCATACAATGTATATTGCAAGCAACTCCCACAAAATAACTCTGGTCTGCACCCGACTTCATGAAGGTAAGTGTACACTGAAGTCACATTTATCTGTTATTAAACAGCAGACTCCATACAAAGAAGAATGCATCCTCATGTCAGTTAAGCAACCTTACTGTGGCTTCTTTCCAGCAGTCCTTGAGCAGGCCCTATGCCTCCACAGGACACGAGAGCGACACAAAGAATGATATTTCGTTTGGAAGAATGCTTAGCTAGGAAGACCATGGAAACAAGATCAGGCAACTGAGTATGTGAAAGCCTCAACAGTAAAAGTTGGTAAGATGTTTTAACTCATTTTGCTGATACAAGATCCCTGTATTTGAAGGACATTAAAATTCACAACAAAACTTTGGTTTTTAATAGGCATTTCTGTTGTACCTGATTCAGCTGTGCATTTTCATTTAATTTCAATTAGAATTGATAGCTTTCTTTTTGAATTGGTTCTGTTTTCTGCTTCATTCCTTTTCTTCTAACCACATTTTCTCATCCCTTTTCTCTTTTTCCCAGGGGAATTAAAAGGAGGCAACGTGGAGAAAACTCTCCAAAAGCCAAATGAAAGTCTGCTAATAGAAGCTAAACAAAACAAAACTTGCATTTAATTATTTTTAAATTAATAAACCTTCAAAATGTAAAGGAAAAAAGATATTAATTTTTCTCCTTTATAGTCCCTGGAAAGTAATTATTTATTATCAGATCTGCTAAAGAGAAGTTTTTGACCTGAAACTATGTAACATGCAAACACTGTGATATTTACTTAATTAGGCTTTAAGTATCAAAGCCTTGACGAAAATTGGATTTGGTTGTGATGCTCATGTGAAGCACGAATTGGTAACTAGTGATTCGTGTCACCAGACTTCTGCAGTGAATTAATGCCATTTCTGTGAAAGTGCTGTCTCAGTAGTTTGTAATAATTATGCCAATGAAAACAGAAAATCGTAGAAATTAAATCGGAATAAAGCTACCAACAGTATTAGAAAGAGCAAGGTATCTGTGTTTGATATCACTATTCAGACCTGTGTGTATGTCTTCCATGATAGGTGAAAACAATCCCTATGCTGTACTGAAAACAGGTACATTGCATCAAAAATCCATACTCTAGTCGGCAATCCAAAGAGGGGTTTGATGACAATTCATTAACTACCTCTAGACAAGAATAGCATTGATTCCAACAGATCCATTTATTTCCAGTTCAGTTTGTGCAAATTGCTTGCAATTACTTTAAGCCTTGTTCACCAATGGTCAATGCTTTTAGTGATCTCCAATTTACTTTAATGTATAACAAGAATAAACCTATAATCCATTTAATTTGCTTTTCCTCAAATGGCACTTTTTTGCTGTTCATATATTAGAAATCTACCATAATATGTAGGTGAGTGTGTAGTAGTAAGACATTCATGTTTCCAAAACAGAATGTTTTACTTAAGAAGCTTTTGCATGAATCTCTTACTACTTTATTTCCAGCAATGGAAGGACTGAACTGAGCTGACAAGTCAGAACTGCGCTTAAAATCAAACCAAAACAAAAAAGCCAACAAAACCAAACCAAACCACAAAACTCTGTGTTCTGCTGCCAACTCAAACTTTTCAGACGTTCATAGTAAAAGCTTCACATTAAAAACATAAGGTTGGACCTAACTTCTAACAAGTGTCAGATGGTAAGAGAAAACATTTAAAATTATTCTTGCTGCTCACATTATTGAGATAATGTTTTCAAACTAGGATATATCAAGTGACTGAAATCTATAGTGAGGTGCCCACTAACCAGTTCTATTTCACAAGCACCAGGCTCTCCAAACAGAGAAAGAATTTTAGATAGGTCCCACCAGGTCAGCAATATAAAGATCAAAGTACACTGCTTGGATACTCAGATATTTAAGAAATTAACACTAGGCATCAAGCCTGATATTAACAGAAGTTATATGGAAAGTCCCTACTACAGTACAGTTGGACCTTTTATACTGTACAGCAATCGTTTCTAAAAGGCACTATGCCCAATGACCATGAAAAATGACTAAATAACTTAATGGCCTTAAATTATAAAAGATTAGATATGCAATGCAGGTTAACTATTCTGTACCTTATGTACTTACCTTATGTAGTTGTTTTAGTCCCTCTTCAGTTTTCATACATGACTGTTCAACGTTGTAATCAATTCTATCTAGAACTGTTCCCTAAATAAAATGGAGAGAATGAAAACCAAAGTGAACCTAAATGAACTTCATAAAGCAGTTGTTATTATTATGAGCAGCAGAGTAATTAACAATGCTCACAGCACACAGGTAATGAACCATATAAACTATGAACTTTTACTTTAGAACTAGTTGGGACTTCATTAAAGTACCTCCTTGCTCAATGCCTAACCGGCAGCTCTGTCACCATCTCATATCACATCCCTTATTAATCACCTTACTTCCAGTTCAGGTGCTTTTGGCTGAATCTCTGGGAGAAATAACCAACAGAACTTTGGCATTCTAGGATTTTTTTAGTCTGACACTCATAACCAGTTTTATTTTTACTTACTTATTTTCATTAACTCATCTTCTGGCAGACTTCAAGCAGAGGAAACCTTAGCCCAAAGGGGTAAGTTAGGAAAAGTGAGAAGCACATGAAAACAGGGTGTTACAACAGGAAGAGTCTAGAAGCCTTAACACAACATGGAATCTCCTACTTCTTACTAACACTGTGATGTCAATGTACCTGTTCTACTATCATGGCTCCCAGGTCCCTAAATATTTCATTGAGATCGGAGATTGACTGTACAATCTGACGGATTTCTCGTTCCCGCTCTTCCACCATTAATGTGTTTTGCTCCACCAATGCTAGCTGGTCATCCGTAAAACCCTGTCGGAATTAAAAGATTTAGATGTTGAACTGATATTAACAGCATGAAAACACTAGAAATAATTATAAGTACTATAAGATTTCATAACACCACAGTCCTTTTGGAATTTCCTTAGTAGACAAGTATCCAAGAAAAAAATGTTGTTGTATTTTAAAAAGAGAGTTTCAGGGTCACTAAAATAACTTGGACAGCTATATTTATAGTTTGAGCAGAAAAAACATAAATCTTGCATCCTGCACAAACACACAAACAACTTTTTAAAATATGATCTGTCCTAAAACAATGGGTTTTTTGGTGTACAAACCCAACATGAAATATTTACCGATTGATCAGCATTACAGAAAGGGCCATAATGCCAATGAGTGAAGACACAGCAGCAATTCTAAATTATTTTATAAACTACAGAGACCTTTCTGTTTTAAGTCTCCCAAGGCCATTCTCAGCCGAGCATTATCCTTTCCCCATCACTCTTATTTAGAGATAAGTGAAAAACTTCTTGTATACAAGATTAGCTGAAAAGCTGCCTTGACTTTTTTGGTAAGTTTTCAGTTAAACATTAAGCATTACAGTTAAGAGTATTCTCCAGCACTATTAGATAGGACACAATAGAACAGATCCCACCATTGCTTAGAAATGTAATATCCCCGAACTCCACAAAGTAAAACAAAGAAGTGGGTCTGGTACAGCTCTACAACATAACTGTGCACAAACAAATCATGACACCATTATTTTTAAGTTTGTAATACTGAAAACCTTCAGTTCACTTTAAAGAGTGTCACCTTCTACTCAAACTCAGAATCACAGTTTTCTAACAACTACTTCTGCATCTGCCCAGAAAGGTGGTATGACAAGGGACAGACCTTCTAGTCCCTGTCAGTCACGTAAGGAAAATTCAGCAGTCAAACTGAGTTCCCTCACACTGCAACGCTGGGGCTGATGGCACAATCATCTTAACATTGTAACAATACTAATTGGGAAAATGCATCACAAATCTGGAGAAATAGCATTTCCATGTAGCTTGGTGCTCATGACATATTTGATATTTTCATACTAAAATTAAAGGTATATATTGAAGTTTCTTCATACTCAATTTGCATAATAATATCTTAACTTACTCTATCGTAAAGTGTATCATCTTCCCCATCATCCATCAGTGGGACTGAGGTGTCGAAGAAGTGTTTGGATCTTTCTTCTCTATTCTTCATGCCTGTGAGAGACAAGCTAGGTTTGAGCATAATACACACTAAAATCAGAGTAAGATCTGAAGCACCAGATAGAAAAGCACAAGATAGAAAATCTGGCTAAAAAACCCATAAACAGCAGTATCTAAATTTTAACTGTCACACAGGCTAGCTATTTAACAAAGTATAACATATTCAACAAGACTTGCAAGTGTCTGATTAAAGCAGTAATTTTAAGTCATTACATTCCATTAAGTTAAAATTTAGGCAAGTTAAGAGCTTTAAAGTGTGATCAACCTAGGCTAACAAATTCTCCTAGGAACATCCCTTGTCTGAATTGTGATCTTAAGTTCCACCTGTGCCATTTATACCATGAGAGTAAGAAATATCAGTGTAAAATTTGAAGATCAAATTTTTGTGTGTTGCTTCTGAGATTATTTTAACCTTACTTAGCTGAAAATAGAATTGCACATGATTTCAAACAGAGGATATTCCACTTCCAAGATGTTTATGGATGAAGAATTTTTATTTATCAGACTACCTTTTGAAGTTTTACCTATCACAGACTACCAATCAACAGGAGGTACCATGTCTGAAGACCAATAGCTGCTTAACCAGTGCAAGCACGATTTGAGAAGCGATGACACAATAAAAATGCAGATGGATGAAATACACTGGTTTTGTAGATCTATTTAACCATGAAACTTCTCCTTTAACAATAGGAAAGAGAAGTAGAATAAAGCAGTTTGAACACGGACTGTGAACCAGAAACTCCCAAATTCTAACCTCCACTCTAATATATTTTTGGTAGTCTTGTGTGCATCAATTAACCTTTCTGTGCTTCAGTTTTCCCAACTAAGAAAATAAGCACACCTTAATTAGTGGTTTCCACAGAAGGTGCCCATGTATTACTGTATCTCTTATGCTTACGTTTGAGATAGTCAGACTGTGCGTGCCTAAAGTTGGTGGATAGGTCCTGAAGGGACTGTGCTAAGGAAGACACTACATTCCTGAGAACACGTGCTTCTTGTTCTGTACAACTACGTGACCTGCTCTGCAAGACCTGGACTGCTCTCTGACATCTGTGAAATAACTGAGAAAACAATTCCATTAGTAAAGAACATACAGCAACACACACTTTAAATATCACACTGCAAAAGTTCCTATTGGAAGACTAATATTTTGGTTTCTAGATTTTTTTAAATTAATTTCTTATCGCCCAGTGCAATGTTTAAAAAGGTATGGAAACACAGAACATAGATGAACAAACACCTTAAAGCTAACAGGGTAGTAGAGTAAACTAACTACTGACCAAAGACATTTGCTTCATTATAACTGCTTGGACCAGAAGCCTTTTTTATATATATATATATATATATATATATATAAAATTTTTTTTTTCTCTGATATATCTGTAAATGTGACCTGATTATGTCCCCCAATTCTATTCCAAGTAGAAAAGCAAGCAGGTAAGTAAAAGAAAAGGGAGGTTAAGTGACTCAGTGAGAAGTTCGCTGAGGCAGTGAGTGCAGTACCAAGCACAGAGCCCAGGACTTCTGGCTCACTCTAATACTGATTACAAAAGAAATGCTTTACTCAAAGGAAACCACTGCTTCATCATGATGCATTTCACATATGCCAGACTGTAGGCTTAGACTTGAAAGCAGTCTCTACCTGTGTGATCTCTTGAGTTGTTATTTCTATTGCCCGTTCTTCTTCACTGCTGTCATCCAGTGTTGGTCTGTTTAGGTGTTTATCATGAAGACTGGCTAATTCTTTCATCTTCTGTTTAACTCTGGCAATATCATACTGAATCTGAAACAGAAAACCAAACAATGAAGAAATAGAAGTGACTAATGTTTCAGAGGAAAAGGTTCTGACATGCTATACAAAAATCATTGAAGGAAATCTATAGAACATAAAAGGCAAACCAAAGATCATTAGAAAAATGCATAAAAAGCTGACTAAGAAGTAACTGAACACTCTCATATATTCTGAGATTGCTGACTTTTTTAATCTACTCTTGTTAATCTTAGGCAAGACTGCTGTTTTCAAATATGCTTATTAAGTCAGAATAATATTTTTTTTCATTATATATTAATATAATGGCAAGAAGGTTTAGCCAACTTCCAAAAACATAAATGAAAATTCATGTCACACCTTCAACTCTGCAAACACTGAATAGCCTGAATTTAACAGCAAAAGTTAAATGACATGCTTTCAAACAAGTAATTAAAAATTAATTTGTAGGGATGATTATTACTGTAGTAAAAAGGAGGCTGATCACCTTTCTGCACAATTGGTTCTGTATGCACAAATTGATGAGCCAACATGTGTGCTGAGATTACATTTTAAAAGGATTTTCTGGAAGTCAAGAATAGCTTCACGCTCCAAATACTGGAAAAGGTTTTTATTTGGATGCCTCCCGAATCATTCCCTTGCGTTTGTCCAAATCCTTCCATAACTTACAAGTCATCAGTACTGCATAGGCAGGAAAAATTCTCCTCCTAGAAGACACTAACACTTTCTGTTTTCAAATAATAAACTGCTAATCTTCACCATTTTAGGGTCTATTCAGTTGGACCCCTCAACAAATTCAGACAAAAAGTCTACTGGAAATGCCAATTTTCTGTACCCTTCCTTCTAAGTTTCAAACTGAGAACAACTTTGTTTTGCCAAGACCTTTAGGACCTTCCTGCAGTGTTAAGTCTAAACAGTCAGCTATAGCATGTCTATCCTAGTAGTCCCACTGTACTGTTAATACTGGGCTCCCCCTGATGATGCAGACCCAGCCTTCTGGAATTTCTGGCCCTAGATAAATCTCCCTTTATTTCACTTGCAATATATCCTTCAACATACGCCACAGCTTGCCTGATATTTTCCTCTAAACAAGGGCGTCAATTTAGCAAACATACCTGGTTTAATCTTTCTTCTAATACTACTTCTATCATAAAACTTACAGCACTAAGAATGTAACCGACAACACTAACAAATCCCTATAAGAGAAATCAAACTCTGTTGGATTTGCCATGCAACTTACTTCATCTGCTCCATCAACCCATTTGGGAGGTAAGCGTTTTGTTACTCCAATTGCTGCTTCAGGATCTAAACTTATTCCCGATACTAGTGCCATACGATCATCAGCAAGCTACAGAAGGTAAGAAAAGACAGCAAATTAATTTTACTCAGATTCAAATTCCTGAGCATCAGAAAAAGTGCATGTATACCTTACCATAAAAATTAACCTCAAAAATGTATGATGTATTAATGTATTAAATGTATTAACCTCAAATGCTGGTATGACGAAGCTCCACATCTCCTGGTTTGTCCCCATATGTTAATGACCTACATCCTCCCACTTCCTACAGGAGCCAAAAGCTGAAAGTTACTCTTAGAATAAATTTGTAGCAGATTTTCAAGGAGAAAATACGGTATTGCAGTGAGAATTCAGGTAACTCTCATATTGGTACATTTCATATTAGACAAGGATTCACAGACAAGGGATCCCTAATCAATGGTGTAGCATGGTTTATATTGGGCCAGGCAAGTCTGAAAATCTCATTTGGGAAAGTATTCAAATAAAAATGTTTATTATATCTCAGAGAAATAAAAATAGTATCCCATGATTGTTTTCAGTGTTGTATTTAGCCAGAGACTCATCTACTAGGCAGCTGAAAAACAAACACTTCTGCAAACTGACATGCAACTAAAATTGTTAAATTATTTATTTAACAGAAATTATAAGGTGCTAAACAAACATAGCCAACGTAGTGACCAATCCACACTTCCCTAAATCAGTGATTCCTGCTTCAGCTGTATGGTCTGAGGTAAAGAAATTTGCAGGAAAATGAGTGGAAGAATTCTCCAGAAAGTTCTAGACTGTCAGAAAGTAAATAAGACAATGTGCCAGCCACCTTATACACAGCTTTCCCAGCTCCACAGGAGGTCTGAGGATAGGGAAGGAGTAAGAGAAACCCTTTATCACAATTAATAGTCATAATTTTAATAACTCGGGTGCAACAAATCAGGGTTTATATTATTAAAGGCTGATGCACACTGATGTACAGCAGCACAGTCGTAGTCCCAAAAGGGCATGATACACTTTTTGGAGACTATTTTTGGGAATAGAATCTAATCTGTAGGGTTGAAATATTAAACAGTTTTAGGAAAAAAAAACACCTAACTAATTAAAAGTATTTTTTAGTCACAAAATGCCTGTGATAAGCCTATCGGAATCTTATTTTTCCAATAATACTTCTAGATGCAGGTTGAATATCTTCAAACTCAAGACACCTTAATATGACAACTATGAAGCAATAAGAACGTAATGTGCAGGGTGTTTGTTTTGGTTGTTTGGGGTTTTTTTAAAGCTCAGTTTGGCAGAAACCAAAAGCCATGGTCTGATCTTGAGTACAGAGGTAGAGATTTATTTATCTGCTTTAATATCATTACCAGTAAGATATGCTGTTCACCCTCTGTAGGAATTCTTTTGTTAAGGACAGTATTAATGCTATTGACCTTTAAACAGACCACAAGATTTTTCTTGGTAGGCTTTAGAAACTTATGTAAATAGACTCAGTGCTAGAGTGCAGGTATTTCTACCATGGTGCAGTGTTGGGTGAGGTTGCCCAGAGAAAGTGTGACATCTCCATTCTTGGAGGTTTTCAAGACTTGGTTGAACAAACTAATGGATTACCCTATACAGATTACTATATAGACAGTGTAGACAGACCCTGTATAGATTATAGTCCCGTTCTGAGCAGGAGTTTGAACTAGAAGATTTCCAGGGGTTTATTCCAACAAGCATGCCAATGATTCTCCAATTTAAGGCTGAGTATGACACACACCTAACAGTGTGCAGAGCCACAGAGCAACATTTAGCACTGGGGCCAAAGATGCTTCCAGTCATCTTTCTCCTCTGAGAGGAAGGCAGGGGAATGGATGGAGTTGGAAGACAAATACAGATCTTCTTGTCAGTTGAACTAGACTTTGTAATTTCAGCTATAATCTTCCTTTACTGGAGATAGAAAGAGGTGGTATCATCAATGATACAACTTGAAACATACCCAATTACTTCACTGTTTGTTCTCAGGGAAAAATTTAATACAGAAACCTTACTTCCTAGTTTCTCCCAGATTTCTAACTTTCCTTTATCAGGCCTGGAAAACTTTGTGGTTCCCCACCTCCTTCCCTTTTAAAAAACAATCCCTCTTCCTTCCCGGGCAATTATTTCCCGAAAGCCTGTTTTTTATCCCCGACCAATAAAGTGTACAAGTTATGCATAGCGTAAAAAATAGTTAATAGTTTCACTGTACAAAGTCACTAAATCCCATATGTATACAGAAAGTCAGACTAGTTTATACGTGTATCTATTAATAATGTAACATTATATCAAAATGCTTGTCTTCTCTATGCAGCCTTGTCATCCTACTGTAGGCAGAGACACCTCATTCTATATAATGAAATTTAATAAACTAGCAGAATAAAGAAAGGAATGTTTTAGCTTGTCAATGTATGCTTGATGCACCATTGCAGAATAAAATGTGAAAAACAATACCTCATCCAGCTCCTGAAGTGATTTGTGGGTCCCATCAGCCCCATCCAGTTAAGAGACAGCAAAAGATAAAAGGGAAAAAAAAAAAGAGAGACATAGGACAGATATAGGGTACGGTCAGTTGAGAAATTGCCGATTTATTTTTTAAGCATGATGGTTTACCAAGAACAAAACAAACTGACTTGTAAAACACAACTATTCAATAAATAAATCACGATATTGTACTTTTTAAGTCAGCATTTTGGTTGATGCACAAACTTTAAAAAAAATATTTCAGTTGCTTGGTAAACAGAATAAACAGAAAGAACATGAGATTAAGAGCTTTTTTCTTTTTTCAAAGTAACTGCACAGTGAAGTTTCTAGTTACTAAAATTTCAGGCAGAAAAACTGCAATAGAGTATGCTCCAGTGAGACAGCAAGGGCAATTTGACTGCAGTATTCAACATCCACTGGCGAATTAAGAGGTTTGATTATGACTGGAGGATGCACATACAAGCTTTTGTAAGACATTTATTGACAAGCACTCCAGTTACCACAGGATAAAATGGACAGCAAAAGACAAAAAGCGAAAGCAAAACCACGTCAATTATGCTCTAGTTTCAGGTAACATTAATCCTACGTGTATCTGAAAAATACAAAAGGCTAGTATCGGCACCTCCTCTATTCATCAGCCTTTGTACTGTGGAGGGTGTGTGTGAGCAATAGGATATCTCACTGAGAGATTAATAAAGCAAACGGATCTAAATCAAAATACTTGTGGTTTAACAAAGCAGCAGGCTTCAACTAATGATCTCTTTTATCCTACACCAAGCTTTTGAAATAGAACTATACTGTTAAGAATGCTACTTTGATTATCTGAATTTAAGGAGTGGTTGACTGCCCACATGAGAATGCAATTTTGAGAGAGCTCTCAGAGTAAAGGATTTCTTCAGGAGAAGCCTGGAGAGTGAACTGAGGTAAGGCGAAGTACTATGACCTAGAATTTGCAACACTGTCCTGCCGGCATGCAGCAGCGCTGCTCTGGGGATACCACCCAAAAGAAAAGGTAATTAGCTGTAGGCACCGCAGAAACATAAAAGGAGAAGAGCTAGCACTACAGTCTTTACACTTCTTGCTTAATTAGCACTCTTGTAGTAACTATGTAACTCTCAGCTGTCCACCAGGATCAGGACTGAGATGCTAACTTCATCCACTGCACAAGACAATTTCCAATCACTCTTAACTTTAATTGCATTTGAATGAGCATCCTAGAAAACAGCTTCAGTTAACACTGTAAATAAACATTTCATGCAAGTGCTAAGTGTTATTGCACTCACTGTTGAGTAAAAGTGCAGTTTCACTGCTCAGTAGTCTGTATGCAAGCTTAAACTATCACTAGCTGTTCTCTCTGATACTTTAAAAAAATCCAAGGATCTGAAGCAGTGATATTGATATTGGCAAAAACCATGTTAACAAGAACTAAATACAGTGCCAAATGAAACACGTATACTACACGTTACTATTGACATTTTCTTGTTCTGCAAATGCAATTTAATACATAGCTTGTTAGACACGGGTGTAATAAAGTTAACAATGAACCATTCAATAGCAATTCATCGGTTGAAATAAAATTTGCAGCACGAAGTGCTCCTTTTCCCAACTAAAAGGCATTGATAAAAAGCAATCTAGAATGATGAGACTGCCACCAGATATTTACTGGTGCCTACTACACATAGTAAGCTTGAACAGAGTGTAAAAACCTCCATAGAGCTGAGCTGCCAAGCAGTCCACCACAGTCTGACTAGCTCAACAGAAAAAGCCACATAAACTGACACTTTTGAAGTTTCTGTAATGAGGATTTACACTAGATTCTACTGACTCCCCTCTTTCACAGAAGACTTACATTATTATTATTTGCATTTGGGGGAAAAAATACAAGAAGGGCAATGGACATCAGAACAAATTATGGAAAAATTCAAGCAATGGGAATAATCTACACTAATGTATTTAACAGTGCCCACACTGAAGTGAATAGAAGAGTTCTGCTCTAAGGAATAACTCGTATTTTTTCTTTGGGGACAGGAGGCCAAAAAGCACAGTGGACAAAAAAACCTCATGTCAGTGCTAACATGAAGGTTTTGGAACAATAACTGTATTTTTTTTTTATTCATGAAGTGAATAGAGATGTGATCAGCACAAAGACAGATCTCTTCTATTCGTTTTACGTGAAGTAGTAGGAAAGAAGGATCAACAAGGTGGGGAGGGAGGGGCAGAGGGGGAAAGTAGAGGCCGGTGGGGCGTTGAGGAGAGGGCTCGCAGACAGGGAGCCGGGGAGGGCCGGGGCCCTG